TCCTTCACGGACCTGTCCTTCGCCAGCGTGATGTCCTTCTCCAGGGACGGGTCCCTCCTGACAACATATCCAAAGTGTGTGAGATGAGGTCTCCTCTCAGTGTCCTCACTCTGACTGTAGTTCATCCAAGACGTTGTTGGTTCTTCTGACAGTCCACGGTGTATCCACATTCTTCAGCAGCACCCTAATTCAAGGGCACTTATTCTTATCTGGCCTTCCTTGTTCATTGTTCAGCTTTCATGTGCACGATTGAAAATGCCATCGCTTAGGTCAAGTGCACCTTAGTCTTCAGGATACCATCTTTGCTTTTTAAAACGTTAAAAAGGTCTTTGGCAGCAAATTTTTCTAATGGGACAGGTCATTTGATTTCTTGACTGCTACTTCCATGGGTGTTGATTATGGATCCAAGTAAAATGGAATCCTTGACAACTTCAGTATTTTCTGCTTTTATCATGATGTTGCTCATTGGTCTACTATTGGAAAAACGGTATTTCCAGTGAATAAGTTGTTGGTCTTGCAAAATGCAGAGTTCTGTCATGCAATCTGCAACATCATTCCTATCACAAAGGCCCTATTTCCCAACTTCCGATCCTTCCTTTGTTTCCAATTTCCACATTCCAGTCACCAGTTATCAGTGCATCTTGATTCCCTGTTTAATCAATTCCAGGCTGCAGAAGTTGGTAAAAGTCTTTAATTTCTTCATCTTTGGCATTAGTCATTGGTGCATAAATTTGAATAATACTCTTATTAACTGGTCTTCCTTGTAGGCGTATGGATATTATCCTATCACTGACAGTATGGTGCTTCAGGACAAATCTTGAAATGTTCTTTTTGATGGTGAATGTAACACCATTGCTCTTCAATTTGTCACTCCTGACATAGTAGTACATATGATTGTCTGATTCAAAATGGCCAAAACCAGTGCATTTCAGCTCAGTAATGCCTAGGATATCAATCTTTATGTGTTTCATTTCACTTTTGACAGCTTCCAATTTTCCTTAATTCATACGTTGCACATTCCATGTTCTTATTATTAATGGGGGACTCCTTGGCTTCCCACCTCCTTCTGCCTTGGGTGGGGGCTCTCTTTTTTATTGTGTGGCTCATAAAAAATTATGGATATCATTGAGAAGAATGGGAATTCCCAAACACTTAATTGTACTCATGAGGAACCTGTACATAGATCAGGAAGCTGTTGTTTGAACAGAACAAGGGGACATTGCATGGTTTAAAATCAAGAAGGAAGTGTGTCAGGGTTGTATACTTTCACCATGCTTATTCAATCTGTATGTTGAGCCAATAATCCAAGAAGTTGGACTATATGAAGAACATGGCATCAGGATTGGAAGAAGACTCATTAACAACCTGTGATATGCTGATGACACAACTTTGCTGAAAGGGAGGATGACTTGAAGCACTTACTTACGAAGATTGAAGACTACAGTCTGGAGTATAGATTATACCTCAATACAAAAAAAACAAAAATCCTCACAACTGGACCAATAAGCAGCATCACGATAAATGGAGAAAAGATTGAAGTTGTCAGAGACTTCATATTACTTGGTTCTATAATCAACACCAATGGAAGCAACAGTTAAGATATCAGATGATGTATAGCACTGGGCAGATCAGCTGTGAAGTACCTATTTCAAGTGCTGAAGAGCAAAGATATCTCCTTGAAGACAAAGGTGCGCCTGACACAAGCCATAGTATTTTCAATAGCTTCCTATGCATATGAGAGCTGGACAATAAATAAGGAAGTCTGAAGAAGAGTTGATGCTTTTGAATTGTGATGTTGGCAAAGAATGCTGAAAGTACCATGGTCTGCTAAAAGAACTAACAGATCTGTCCTAGAGGAAGTGTAGCCTGAATGCTCTTTGGAAGCAAGAATGGCTAGACTTCATCTCATCTACTTTGGTCATGTTGTCAGAAGGAACCATTCCTTGGAGAAGGATATCATGTTTGGTAAAGTGGAGGGTCAACAAAAAAGGGGAAGGTCCTCAATGAGATGGGTTGACAGTGGCTGCAACTATGGGCTCAGGTACAGCAGGAAACGTGGAGCTGGCCCAGGTAGGGCAGTGTTTTGTTCAGCTGTACATAGGGTCGCTATGAGTTGGAGATGACGGCAACAACAACATTATTAATGGATGTTTGCACGTGTTTCTTCTTATTTTGAGTTGTCCCCATCAGCACGTGAAGCTCCCCAAATCTTTATTTCATCCAAATCATTAAGGTCAACTCTACTTTGAGGAAGCAGATCTTCCCTGGTCATGTTCTGAGTGTCTTCCCACCCAAGGACCTCATCTTCTGGCACAGTATCAGACAATGTTCCACTCTACCCACAAGATTTTCACTGGCCATTTTTTTTTTTTTCAATTTTAAGAGTTTGTTTTACACTCAACATTACATGTACATTTAGTTTCACTCCCCATGTACCATCCCCAACCCTAAGCCAGTCTCCTCCCCTCCCTGCCCAGTAACCCTCCCCCTGTGCCCCTCATAGTTATGTTCCTGTCTGTCCAGTATTACCTCCCTGTGAATGTTGCCCCTCTGGTGCCCTGTGCTCGATTGCTGCAAGGGGTGCATTTCCATAGAGTATGTGGGTGCATCATCCTGGATTGAGTGGTCTCCATGTACATCTTGTTAACTATTGGGCTGAGAGCCAGCCCCTGGGAGTGAGTTTTATTCCTGGTGCAGAATGCATTCCAGAGCCATAATATTGGGGCTCTCACCAAACTCCATCTGACCAGGAATTCTAGTCATTATTGAGTTTTTGGATTCTGCTCCATGTTTTCCCTGCCACTCTGTTCAGCATCTCCAGCTTTGTTCTTTCCCGAGTGGTTCTGGTCCCAAGGGCCATTGTGTCCTAGGGCGGATTGCTTCCAAATGCCCTTTTTTTTTTTTTGCACTCTTCTTCTCTTCTGCCGTTGGGAGACCGTTAGGTGCATCTTAGATGGCCGCTTGAAAGCTTTTAAGACCCTAATCACTACTCACCGATGTAGGGTGAGAAGCAAGGCTTTTCTGTATTTTGTTGTCACCGGCCAACTTTGTAAGAAATAGATTTCCAGCTCCTTTTTCCATATTGGTCTTAGTCTGGAAGCTCTGCTGAAGTCTGTCCACCATGGGTGACCCCGCTGGTATTTGAAATACCAGTGGCATAGCTTCTAGGATCACAGCAGCTTGCAGGCCATCACAGTACAAGTGGCAGATGAGCAGTGGTTAGAAACACACACGGTATTTCATCAAATACCTCATCACGTGTATCTCTCTATACACTATCCCTCCAATGGGAGGGCCCTGGTGGTTCAGTGGTTAAGGACTCAGCTGCTGGCTGAAAGGTCAATGGTTTGAATCCACCAGTGGCTCCGTGGGAGAAAGACTTGGTGATCTGCTTCCATAAAGATTTACAGCCTTTGAAACCCTATGGGGCAGTTCCACTCTCTCCTACAGGGTTGCTATAAGTCATAGTCAATTTGATAGCAATAGGTTTTTGTATCCAATAGTGCATAAGAAAATGCCCAACAAAATTAGCTGTCACGGTGATGCAAAATGAAATCACATCGACCAAATGAGTGGAATCCCGATTACAGAAACAGACCCACACACGTATGGGACTTTGCTTTGTGGCAGAGGTGGCATGTCAGTTCAGTGGAGAGATGGTAGGCTGCCCAGTGTTGTACGGAACAGGATTTTGTTGGGGGAGTGTTTAATTTAATTTTAAAATGTTCTTTTTACTGTAGTGAAAACAAACATAACAAAACACATGCCAACTCAACATTTTCTACAATTCAGTGATGATGATTTGAGTCTTCAAGATGTGCAACTGTTCTTGCTTGGATGAGTCTTTATGTCCAGAGCCGCCCTCTGCCTTGGGTGGGAAGGTGAACAGGAAGAGGGAGGCCATCATCATGGACTGTTCTCCACAGAACTGAGAGAAGAGATTCTCAGGAAATGGTTAAGAACCAGCAGGCCTAACTTGGTCAAGCACTCATCGTTCCCCAGGGCAGCTCTGGGACCTGTGAGTAGAGAACAAGGTCAGTGGTGGGAGGAAGAGGAGGACTAATGCCTCTCCTGACCTTCAAACACAAGTGCTCAGCCAAGGAGACCACCCCACTGCTCCATGCTGCACATCTAAGGAAAGTGGAGAAGATATAGGAGTGTTGGTTGGCTGGTTTTCACAGTAACTGGGGTTTCCATTGGTGTCTAATCGGGAAAGAGATCCTGAATATTTTTTATCATGGACTGAATGTTCCCACATGCGAAAGAAACATCCCACCTAAAATACCAACAGTGACCCTATCGAGAACATAGGAAGGTCCTCCAAGTAGCGTTGAGTGTTTAACAAGCCCTGATAGCACAAAGGTTAAAAGTTTGGCTGCTAACCCAAAGGTCAGGGGTTCAAACCACCAGACAGGGGAGACAAGACCTGGTGATCTGGTCTGATGAGGACAGGTGGAACCCCTCATACTAGAGCCCTTGGGTATCCTTCAAGCTAGGAGTTGAATTTGGTCCGTGTGCTTCACCTCTCAGCCAAGCGACAGACAGTCCTGTAAGGTGAACAGTAACAATACCAGGAGGGTATGTGCTTATCCAAATAATCAAGAATACAAGATCGGGAGGTCAGCGTTTGCCCAGGGGCAGAGCTCGGGAGGTGGGAGTGGATGGAAAGGAAGGAGGAAGGGGGCTGGGGGACGTAGGGAGGAAGTGGGAACAACGCTGTTACAGTGTAAGGGCTGCAATAAATGTAACAAAACAGAATGTGCATGGATTGTTCAACGGGAAAAACATTCGCTCTGTAAACTTTTACCCAAATCATAATTAAAAAAAAAAAAAAAGATCAACTCAAATAAATAAATAAAAGATTACAACTTAGGAAACCCTATGAGGCAGCTCTACTTTGTTCTACAGGGTCGCTATGAGTCAGAGTAGTCTTGGCAGCATATAACAACAACATAGCATCGCAAAAGCCCACGAGAAAGAGATGTGGTCAGTTGTTTTACCTGGTTCCACATGGAGACTCCTTCTGGCTGTGCCAGGCTTCAGCCAGGAAAGCCCCCATAATAACCAGAATGATGACAGACAGACCCAGGCAAGTGACGTTAAACGTGGTGTAATCTGTCGGAGTGGTATTTCGGGAAGCTGAAAGACAGAAGAGTTTAACGTTGGGTGGTGCAGACCGTTAAGTGCTCAGCTACCCAAGATTGGTGGTTCAAACTCACCCAGACGTGCCTTAAAAGAAAGACCTGGCATCAATCTGCTTCCTTTACAGCCTTGAAGACCCCACAAAGTACAATTCCACTTTGCAACGCATGGGTTGCCATGAGTTGGAATCGACTGTGCAGCAACTGGCTTGGCCTTTTTTCCCCAGGAGAACTATCCCTTTGCCTCTTCTCTAATAAATCTGTCAACTCTGGATCTCACGAGGCCATAGGCCCACCCGTGTCTCCTGGGCACCAACCAGTGTTGAACAACCAGGACACACTTGAGGTGAATGCAGGGAGAAAGAGGAGGAATAGACATTGAGGTCTCCTGGCCTCCAAACCTAAGTTCTCAGCCAGGGGCAAGGTGCCCCCAACTCACCATCCTCCACATCTAGGGACATCTGAAAAGATATGGATCCTTCAGGCCTGGAACTGAACTCACCCCCATGGCCCAACTTCAGGCAAATGATAGACAGGCTATAAGGTGGACAGTAACACCAGGAGGGCCCGTACTCCTTAGAACAATCAACCACATGAGATCAAAAGGGCATTGTTTGCCCAGCCAGAGAGCTCAGAAGGCAGGAAGGGATGGGAAAGAAAGAGAAGGAAAATGGTAACCACAGGGAGGAAGCGGGAGGAGAGCCATTAATGGCAGGGCCTGCCATCAATGTCACAAAACAAAATGTGTATCAACTGTTGAACGGAAGGCCAACGTGCTCTGTAAACTTTTACCCAAATCAAAATGAAAACTTTAAAAAAAGAAAAGAAAAAAAAATTGATTTGAGAGACACCTACACAGAGTACCATTTTCCTCTGCCTCTAGTATAATGGTTCCTTAAAGTTCTCAATTAGTTTAAATACATGGATATATATATATATGTAAATGTGCCTATTAGTCACAAGCAGATGGTGAGGATGAAGAAGAAGACTACTGTGCATGTTAAATATTGTAGGAAAGTGGGAACAATGAGACTAAAATATGGGAGTGACATGGGAAATGACCCAAGGATGTAGATAGACCAAAGGTACAAAGAAGGGAAATTAGGAATGGAACGGATGGATTTTGAAAGGAGATGATAGTGCAAGTGATGGAGAAACAAGCATTGAAGAAGAGAACCAACACTCTCTAGTTAAAGAAAATAAACTCTAAAAATCAAGAAAGCCTTACCTGTCACCCAGATCTCAAGACTATCACTGGGGCGTGAGGTCCAGAAAGGGGCCTTTGTCTGGTAGTAGACACAGTTGTAGTTCCCAGTGTCGTTGATGGTCACAGTCTGAAGGGAGAACTCTGCCACACTTCCTGCTGGTTTCTGCTGCTGTGTGGGTGCTGAAGTTCCTTCCTTCAGAAGGGCAACGTCATAACCAATGACACCGTCTGGCGTCTGGCACTGCAGGGTCACGTTTTGTCCTGCAGTCACCTCACGTCCTGGATGGGCTTGAAGGGAAGGCTTAGGTATAGTTCCTGCAGAGAGGGAAGGTGCAGAGGTAACAGAAGTTTTGGTCCACACTCAGCAGAAGTGGCTTACCAAATAAGGAAGGCAAGGGAGGGCTTACTTGTGTTTTCTTATTGATCTGTAGTAAGTTTTATGTATTAATAACCAAGTCCAAGTAAGCCCATGCATACCTCGCTTCCTGGTTACCCATCCCTGCCAGGGACTGTAATTTTGAAAAGAGGCTTTGATTCTGTAGGAAGATGCTGTGGGTTGGAGACAGACAGATGCCCATCATACCTAGAAGTAGAATCTGATGCGATGAAGAAATGTGAAATTGTTCACTACAGATTAGTAAGTAAGCACAAGTCATCCCGAGTTTACCTTGCCTATTGGGTAATCTAACCTAGCCCTTACCCTTGGTCCCCTAATAGGGAGTTCTCACAAACTGTTGATGATCAAATACACCTGACGGTCTTGATGCTGGGGTGGGAATTTCCCCTCCACAACAAGCCGTGGGCAAAACCCAGGCTCAAATTCTGCACCTGCCTCTCTTCACCGTCACCCACACTACACGGCACTGGAGACGCAAGGCCTTGGACTGGAGAACCACATGTCCTTCCAGAACACCTCCTCCTCACCTGTAACCAGAAGGAGAAGGACATCACTGCTCAGGGAAGTCCGGTGTCCATCACGGTATTCACAAGTGTACTCCCCGGAATCACTGTGCTGTACATCAGTGAGGAGCAAGTCAGCGTGGCTCTCTGTAGGATCAGGTGACTGTACGGGATCCAGGTGATATCCTCCCTTTCTGAAGGCAAAGTCTGCAGCCCTGGTCAGAGCCCAGCATCTCAGACTCACGTTGCTCTTGGGAGGGACCACCGAGCTGGGCCAGGCCCTGAGGATGGGCTTGGGGAGTGACCCTGGAAAGGAAGCAGAACCAGGGCTGGAGTCAACCACGCCCCTTGCTCTCAGGAAACCCAGAGAAGGAAGGAGAGGGAACAGCGGGGAATTCAAGGTGGACTTCAGTGAAGCAACACTCACCATGCTGCGAGTTGTATCTCTGGCTAAGACACAGATCTGTAAAAAGAATCCTCCATGAGTGGGATGCAGCCCATGGCATCTGCCTGCCCTGACCCCACAGTGACCCCCAGAGGCCCTTTCTGGGAAGTCACTGTTGTTAGGTGCAGTGGAGTCAACTCCGACTCATGGTGACCCTGTGTACAACTGAACGTAACACCGGCCACCCCTGCAGCATCGTGACAATAGCAGGGGGGAGCCCGTCGCTGCAGCCACCACGTCAGTCCATCTCATTGAGGGTCTTCCCCAGTTTCACTGACGTCTACTTTACCCATCATAGGATCCTTTTCTAGGTTGTGGTCCCTTCTGACAACATAAACAAATGATGAGTGACGGACTCTGTCTTTCCCACATCTAAGATGCATTTTGGCTGTGTGTCTCCAAGACAGATATGTTCGTTCTTCTAGCAGTATGTGGTACGTTCAATATTCTCTGCCAGCACCACAATTCAAAGCCAACCTGTGATATGCAGATGACGCAACCTTGCTTGCTGAAAGCAAAGAAGACTTGAAGCATTTACTCATGAAGATCAAGGACTCCACACAGCCTTCCGTGTGGGCTACACCTCAGTGTGAAGAAGATAAAAATCCTCACCAATAAGCAATAAGGGACATTATGTTAACTGGAGGAAAGACTGCAGTCATAAGGATTTCATTTTACTTGGGTCTGGCATCATGGCCCCACAGCCTGACACACTGACAGAGGTGTGGTGGACTGAATCTCTAAGCAAAGGGATCCTCTTCCTAATGTTCCCTAAATCCTAATCTCAAAGAGCAATCCTGGGTGCTGGTCTTCCGTCTCTCACATCCGCTCATACCCCTGAGCCACTGGGGCAAGTGTGGTTCAGTCCACAAGCAGACCAAACCACACAGGCAAGGCCAGCTGCCCTGAGGTCAGTTCCGACTCGTGTGAACCCGTGGTTGAGTTCAGCAGCGCTCTCTGGGGCTTTCAAGGCTGTGACCTTTGGAAGCAGGTCACCAGACCTTCCAAGGTGCCTCTGGGTGGGTTCAAACTGCCAACCTTCTGGTTTGTATCCAAGCACCTAACCAACTGTGCCATTCAGGGACGCCTACTGTCACCCCAAAATGTGGGCTCGTATGCAGAGCGACAGTTCAGTCACGTTGGTAGCAGAAGGAAGAGTTTATGCATAAATGGGGAACAGAGTTTCAGAATTCTCTGAGAGTCCACCCCGCCTCTAGTGGTAAATACAAGGTCAGTATAACTCACTCACTCACTCACTCGCTGCTGTCGAGTCAGATCCGACCCATAGTGATCTCTCCCTGGCTTTCCTAGGGGGTGTTTCTACAGATGTAGATTGCCCACTCTTGCTACTGAGGAGTGGCTGGTGGGTTTGAACTGCCAGCCTTCTGGTTAGCAGTCAGATGCCTTGGGCACTGTGCCACCAGAGCTCCCAAAGTCAATGTAGCTTGAGTTGAAGTTTATGATCTCGTGTACACATTCCATTCCCAAGGACCAGGGCTCTTTAACCATGAGAAGGACAAAGAGGGGCTGCTCAGTCATGACTGTGGACCTTATCTCCTGGCTCGGGAAGGCGTCCCCATCCCCACCAGGCGGGTTCGGCTTTTCTCTCCAGGCTGACCTC